TGCCCTGTGGAGGCCTGTGATAAACTCACAGAAGAAACTTCTCACTGGAGCTTTAGCTGAAAGTCAGGCTCTGTTTTTAGCAGCAGGAACACTCAGTGGAAATGCTTTTTTTTTTTCTTTTTTTTTCCAACTCCGGTTGTTAAAATTGTTGGTTTCCTTTCCAAGACTCGACTGCAGGATCCGCTTTTTCCAGAAACTGCCGGCTCGTGTTGGCTCTGCCTCCGTTTTGTGGTCTGAGCAGCCACTGTTTAAATGTGCCGTTACCCATGTGAGAGGAAAACAATGGCTCTTTCATACTCCTGAGTACAATAAAACATTTTATTTGTTCGAGAGGCTGCTGTCAGCCAACGTGCTACTTTTCCGTCAAACTGCAAATGTGAATTTACACTTTGACGCCGCACCAAACTCCAGAATCTGAGCCGAGAGATGTACATCAGCTATAACCTGATGATGTGACGTCATGGCTCACAATGCAGAGTCATGGCAGCCGGCACATCACTGCAAGACAACATGTGGATACAGTGAACCATGACTCAACAGTTTTTACAGCAGTTTTACCACTTACGAACATCATCTAATATATTTTTGTGTCTTCAAGAACAATGTGTTAAAATAAAACTTCTCATATCTATTATTAGTAAGTTTTTTTAAAATTATTTTTAAAGACAGGACAGGGACACTTCAGGGGCTAATCAGATTTCAGCTGGGTCCTGTTCCCGCCCCTGGATCCATCCCCCGATGATGTCCCCCCCACATTTTCTCATGACCTCTGTTAATTGTGTTGCTAAACAGTTTTTTCCCTCGTTGATTGAAATGTGTTTGTTTCCACACAGTGATGACAAAACGCTCCAAATCCAAAGCTCCAACTCAGGTGAGAAAACTCATCCCATCAGAATAACTGACTTTCAACAGGATCCTCAAGAAAAGTAGAAAAATGTGATAAATTCCTGTTTGACCATGTTGAAGTCTTCAAAATTCTTCTGTCTGCTTTCAATATCACACTGACAGCGTTCAGATCAGCTTGTTATGCCCACTTCGGCCTTTAGAGGTCCTCCTTCACTTGAAATTACCTAAATGCTACAGGGTGAGGAACAGGGAGCTGGAATAAATCCACTGAACTGAGCAAAGAAACAGGTCTTTAAACCTCAAACCTGCTGCACATCATGGTCGACCGCTCTGGATGTTTGTGTGATTTCAAGTCGCAAATAAACTTCTGGGAAATTCACCCAAACAGTAGTTGAGACATTTCACTGAAAACCACAAATCTCTGTGTAGTCAGGGGACCAACACAAGCACTGGGACTTTCTGTGATGGTCAGAGCAACTTTTCAGCTCACGACAATCCAGCACGAGATGTCACAGCCCGGACCGTGGAGGAGAACAAGCTGAGAGTCGCTCTGCTAGCGTGACTTGAACAACTCGATGCTGATGATTCGTGTTCGCTCACCACTGACTCATCCTGCAGCATATCCTGTTTTTACAGTAGATTTTGTTCCTCGGTAATATGAGGAAGTGATGCACTTAATGTTTCCAGACTATCGTGAACACAAGAGGAACTGACTTCAGTGAGGCTGCAGAAAACGACACACATGCATCTGCAGTTTGCATAACATACAAATCAAACGCTGCATTAAATCTAAATGCATTACCCCCATGTAACAGGCTCTGTCCCGCTTCAGCCCAATAATCTATGTAATACAACCGCTCAGCAGCTGCAGCTTCATCATGTGGCAATTCCACGACTAAGTATAGGCCTTCAGAGAGTGGGCTTGAGTTTTCCTGAGAGCTCAGCGACTCGCTCTGTGTGTTTTGGCACCGTCAGTATGAGTGTTGTCGCACAGAGGAGGAGCACTGTGCAGTCATTGTCAGAGATAAGTTGGAGAGGCTCTTTGAAATGAGTGCTCCTCTTTGTCTGGTTGGCACTGACACGCCAACGAGGTCCAGTTCCCTCTGCAGCAGCACAAAGAGACATGTGAGCGTCTCCGTCTGCAGAACAGAGACACACACACACCAGACCAGAAGTTATCAGGCTGTCGGGCGATGTTTGGAAATCATAACGCACAAACACTGAAGGGGAAAAACATAGAGTCGATGTGCTGGTGATAAAAGCCGCACAATGTGTTTGCACCTCCATCCTGTGAGCGAGCAGGTGTGTGAGGGATCAAACAGGATCAAGGAAACGTTCCAACACCTCCAGAGAACAATAAAGAGGCCGTGAACATTCCCAGCGCGATGTGCGTCAGCTGGAGGGTCAGAGGTCAAACCCCAGCATCTCTGCCTTTCACTGCTCTGTAAAAATGTGAATGATTCCATCACGATCGCATGTGATTTCCAGCTCAATGAAAGAGGCTTGTGTGTTTTTTGGACAATGAAAATGTCACACAGGTCGTCGGCCAGTTTGAATCTATAGAACAGACTGAACAGTGAGAGAATCTGTGTGCACCACAAACCTGCTCTTTTATCATTTTCTTTTACATCTGAGATTAAGTAGTGAAGTTTTCCTGAAATCAAACTAACAGCATTTCATTTCAGAGGAAGAAAAAGCCCAAAGAGAAGCCGACAACTTCTGTCCAGTCAGAGAAGGAGAAGGAGGAGGAGGAGGAGGAGGAGGAGGTGGTGGTGAAGGAATCTGTGGTCGTTGGACAAGAGCCACCTCGTCCAGCGGTGAGGAAACGGAAGAGACGACCTCTGAAGGCCGGGATGGAAACTGTGACTGCAGCGAGACAAACACAGAAGGTGAGGAACGTTTCTCCGCTGAGTGTCGTCAAAAGATTTGGGTTTAATAAGTTAAAGTTTGGAATCTTTACAATGTGTGATGCTCTCTGTTCATTTGGAAAACAGCACCTTTTACAGTGTTGTTGCTTTTTCAGTGACAGTTTTTACGTTTGAGCTGTTCGTTCTTTAACAAACTCGTTGAAGTTGCATTAAGTGGGACAATAGTGACTTCCACTGGTTGTCAATTGTATGAATGGATGCCTGGAGAAATACAAAAGACAGAATATTTTATTTAAAAAGCACCTTTTTCTCTTTATACTTATTATAACTCCAATCTATCCTACATATGTAGATATTGAATGTTTTGGAAAAAGCTAATTTCTTGAGCTGTTTAAAAGCCAAAATGTGATGTAAATGTATGTGATGTAGTTTTTAAGAGTGAACACATCTTAACGATCCAATTTGTAGGATTTATTTTGTCACTATGATGCCTGAGGATCGTGGGTATTGTAGTACTTCTCCTTGGCATTGGGAGTAAAACACATTTTTCTCAAAATGCAGTTGATATAATTCAGACTTGTGGCTTTCACTGGAGCAGATAGCATCATTTCACCGTCTCGCGTCTTGTGGTCTATACCTGGGGTGGTTCCAATATTATGGCTGATAATCAAAATCTCCTTTGAGAAAAATGATTGGATTTTTACACCGTTGAGCTCCATTCACCTCAAGTAACCAGAAGTTAAAGAGCGGAGAGCTGGGCTGACGTATTGTGCATATAAAAATGATTTACGTTTATTGCCAGTGTAAGTAAACATGTCTGAACTGACCTGGAGTCACCTTCACCTGCCTCGCTGCTCCACTTCTCTCTCATGAAGCACTCGAGCGATGAGAGTAAACCTTCAGGACAAAGGGCCGCAGAGCTGGCACAGCCACTGGAGCTCAGGACTGAAGGCACGCATCTTTTATGGACACAAGAGTGGACTTAGTGTCCCCCCCCCCCCCCCCGGCCCTCGGCCCCCTGACTCCTCCGAGCCCACAGATTCATTCACCGAGTGGGGGACTAATCATGTCAGGCCACACAAACAGTCGGTCTATCATTCATGCTGCTCTGATTATGTAACAGCTCAGCAGGACAGTTTTTAATTTGACTGTACAACTCGGCCAACACGACTCCTGAAATACACGAATCAGAATAGATTAGTCACAAGAGCAAAAGAGAATACATCGATCAGATTTCCTGATCGACAGCTGATCGTCTTTATGGCACCAGAGGTCAGGCTGGGGTCAGGAATCAGAACCATTTGGTTTGTTTATTGTTTTAAGGCTTTATTATGACAGTTTGTTATATTTACGACAAGATGTTTCACACAAAGTTCAGCTGTTTATGAATTTATTACGTTAACATGAAGTCAAAGGTTTTTAAATGTTGACAATTTTCCAAAACCAGCTAATAAAACTTTAAACCTGTAAATCCAATATGGCTGAAACACATAGGTGTTAGGAATTCAAGCTCCTTTCTGTCCAGGAGTGTCGTGAAATGATTTCCACAAATCAAATGCAATTTAAAACCATATTTAAGCCAAATTAGTTCAATTTAAGATAAAAAAAAACATTCAAATATAAAAGTATTTGGATTTACTTCGTCCCAGCATGACCCGTGAGGTGATTGTGGTAGATCAGTCAGGTTCATTTAAAGCACCATCTGTGATGAAGGACACATAGGAGAATATTTTGGGAACTACTGCTTAAATCCATATCCTCTGGTTTAATGAAGGTCTATTAGCTTCTGGCACAGTTATATTGGGCGTCAGGGGCTGATCATTTTTGGGAACCCCTGATCTAAAGGACGACGAACTGACAGTACAAAAGTAAAAGGACAAATGAATAGACAAAAATGTAGAAGTAGCACAATAACTTAGTACTTGCTTTTAAATGTACTCAAAGTTTTAAAACAAAAAGAACTCACAGAGTGAAGCCTATTATGCAGCGGTCACTAACATACCCGATGCATATTTAGTTTAATAGAAGAAGAATACAGACTCTGTCATATTAATAAAGAATCTGCACGTGATGCTACTGATGTTTTCATATTAACTAATGGCTTTGATTGGATCAGTGGACAAGTTCCCCTCTTGCTATTGGTAACAAATATAAAAACTATGTGAGCATGTGGAGTAGGAAGTTTAAATATTTTGTGATATAGATGTATTGTAAAAATACCCCAGAATAAATAAGAATAAAACTACAGTAAATGCACATTAAAAAGTACTTAATTACTGCAGTAACAAAGTAAATATACTTCGTTACATGTTATTGTAAATAACCCCCCCCCCCACACACCGAATCATAAAAAGTGCAGCGCGTGTTTTCACATGCATGCGCACCGCGAGCACGCATATCCCTCTCATCTCCATCCCGGTGCGTGTCGCTGGAGCAGAGGGAGCGCGCACATCCTGCAGCCCGGATCAGTCCAGCCCAGGTCGGACCGGATCAACACAAGCGGGACGCTGCGGAGGAGGAAGAAGAGGAGGATGAAGAGGAGGATGAAGAGGAGGATGGTGTCTCTCCAAGTTTGATCTGTGGAGAATCTGTCGCTGCTAAGAATCGGACATCAACGCTTGTTTTTTCCTCGAACCGAAATCTGCAGCAGCCCTGGATCCCACCGTCGTGAGTACCGAGGGTTTCTAATGCACGTTTCTGCCGCATCGCTGACGCTGCTCATCACATGATGTGCTGTCGTTACCGAAAGATAAAAATTAAAAAAAGCTGCAGACCGGAGGTAAATGTGCAGAGGTGAAGGCATCGAACCTGTGACGGAGGAGGTGCAGGTGTGTCCTGACTGCAGCGGAGGTCAAACTCTGCCTCCGCTGATGCGGAGCAGAGGGAGTTTCCTGCAGCTTTGTATCCGTCAGCTCCTGAACTGAAGGTGCAAGTGAAGAAGGAGTGCATGAGTCTGGAGGAGGAGGAGAGTCAGGGTCTTTTCAAACACACACACACACACACACACACACACACACACACACACACACACACACACACACACACACACACACACACACACACGCACACTTAACTTTCTTCCAGGTCCAGTGAGTTTCAACAGCATGCTCTCTAAAGCCCCTCAGGGTTGCCCGGTAACAGCAGCCCGCCCTGATGCTTTCAACCAGCTCAGATAAAGGCCACACACAGAACCTCCGCCTCTGCAGAGTACTAGGTTAGACACACAAGTACACAAGTCACTGTGTATTGGCTCTGCAGAGTACTAGGTTAGACACACAAGTACAAAAGTCACCGTGTTTTAGTATGAAAGCAGCAATAATAATAATAATTGACTTTATTTATTTAGCTCCTTAAAATAGAGTTATCAGGAGCTTTATGAGTTTAAAATGGGAAATTTGAAGGTGAACAATGGGAAGAAGTTAAAAATAGACATGTTACAGATGTGCAATGAAATATTTATGAAATGAATAAGACCTTTTAGTTTGCCAGATGGATTTAATTGTTCCAAAGAGTAGAGTGGGGGGGTGGGGCGCTCTAACAGAAACGCTCCTCAAACAGGACTGTGGACACGTGAGGTGTCAAAACATCTGAACTGAGGTGCACGTCCACAACGAGCATTAAAAGTCGAACAATAGTTTTGGACGAGCTGTAGTTTCACTTGTCATCTGATTGTGTTACTGAGCAGATCAGTGCAGAGAGCTGACGATGAGCCCACTCTTTGCGTATAGCTTTCAAAGATGCCTCGGGGCGATCGTCTCTCCCTCTCTGCTGTGTGCCGGCCTATTTTAGAAGCTCTACATTTTTAACATGACTCCCTTATTGCACGTGGCTCTAACCTTTCAAACAGCCCGGCCTGACTTTTCCTGAAGTATTTATATTTATACTGCATCTTTTCTCGCACATGCATCCTGGAGGCCAAACTGCTAAAACACGGGAGTTCGCTGACCCGTCAAATAGTGGCCAAATGCCCGTGATTCCATTTGGATCAGTCAATGAACAGGAGCATGAATCTAATGTGTCCCTGCTCCACTTTTAGAGGTAAACACAGTTATGAGTTTGACATGCGGAGCTTTAGCTGAACTCAAACTGGCAAATCACAAGTTTCCCTGTGAAGACTTCCTCAGTGCTGCAGTAAAGATGTGTAATAATGTCACAAAACGACTGGGGTCACACTTCAGCTAAATGTTGGGATCTTGTTGCTTGTTTCTAAGATTTGATTTAATTGAACTGTTGCAGCATCACACTCACACATCCTGAGCACTGACGTCAGCCAACCGGATGCTTCTGTGATGAGATCTCAAAGAAAGTGGGGAGCGGGCCTTAGCAGCGGCTGCAGCTAATCTCTGGAACAACTTAATTACCAGCCTAATATTATAATTCCCAAATACTTATGGTCTTTGTTTAATTGCTTTTTGATTCTCTATTTATTCTCTATGTTTTCGAGTCTAGTGTCAGCACCTTTGTAAATGAGCTGTGGATCGTCTCCTTGGATTTTATAAGGGTTTAATTATTCAAGAATTAAAGCGGTGCTGCGGCGCCGCAGTCACAGCAACATAGAGAGATATCTGCATTCCGCTCAATCATAACCTGAATGTGAACTGTAGCTGATGCACTGAAGACGTTCCTCCTGGGACTTTGGTCCTGTCGGCTGCCGTCCAATCAGAGAGGCGGTGGCGGCGCAGCCAGCGCCCCTGTGGAGGAGAGCATCCTGTGAGCTGGATGGTGACTCAGCAGGAGAGGAGGCAGGAGCGCTGTGACGTTGCAGCAGCTCCTGCTCCTCCTGCTCCTCCTGCTCGCCGAATGAGTCAGGTCCTCTCCACACAGCACTGAGCCTGCACTCACTGTAATCTGCTCCAGAGGAAATCTTGTTATTCCTCTGTGTATTCTGAGAGCTGTACTTAAAAAAACTTTGCACGTGAGTCAGTCTCAGCTGTCAATCAAGACGCTTCTTATAGAACTAATGTCCCTCTGGACATTCACACTACCTGAAACTCATCTTTTTAAGTTATTGTTATAGGTTTTTAGATTTATTATTAAAAATTAGTTAAAATGACAGAGGCCATCTTTAGGTACATTTATTTCACGTGTACTTTGACCCTTTAGTTTGGCCCATGTCTCATCTGCTAACATGGAGGAGGAAGAGTTTCCAACCTATACTGCTACTACTTGCGGTTAGACTTCCAATGATTGTAGAGTAATCTGTTTTAAAATTACTTAACGATGAAGTCGTCTTTCATTGTTTAAACTTCGAGAGTTGCTGTGAGTTCACGTCAGTTCTTTTCTTCTCCTCGTGTCTTCCAGACGATGGACGAGGTGAAGGACAAGCCTAAGCGGAAGCCTCTGGTCAGGGCTGCGTCGGAGGAGGGCTCCAGCGACCTGAGCTCCATCAACTTCTCTCCGTCCCGCGGGGACACGCTGCCCTGGAACCTGCCCAAGCATCATCGCATGAAGAGATCCAAGTCGGCCTCTGGAGATGTGCTGGACCCGGCGGAGAGGGCCGTCTTCCGCATCGCAGGTGTGTTCCCACAATCCACTGCTGCTGCTCGTGTAGCATTTCATAATGAAGCTCTCCTGTCAACACTGAGTCATTTTGTAAATCCTGGTAATTGTGATCGTTGGGTCTGGTCTGTGGTTTGAGAGTCGACATGATTGTTTTCATGTGCTCAGCAGATTCATGTGTTTCCCTGTTGTTTTTGGCGTCGTGGCTTTTGTTACACACAAGTCTCCTCAGTGCACTTTGTCAGAGAAATATTTACTCAGACGTAATGGGATTATAATTTGTCTTTGTTTCATAATAACATCTTAACTGTTGAGCTCCTGCTCTGTCACCCTCACCGCCAACATTAAACTTATAACAATCAATAACTTCTGCTTATAAACAGCACAGCGACATTTAAATGTTCAATATGTAACTTCGGCCACAGAGGTCTCCCAATCAAAACGATAACAAAAGACGTAATTTGATGTTGTAGTGAAGCAGCGTAGGATCATGGGAGTTGTTGGCTTCGCCGCCATCATCAAACTTACGAGCTGCATCTTTTTTTTTTTTAATCTGCCCGAGACCCTCTCTTAGTTCTGCAGCCGCTCCACCTCTGTTCACTGCCTGAACACATCACTTCCTGTGGTGTCGGGTTCAGATCGTCTCTTTGGAACCACAAACAGAAACACTGACCTCACCCCCCCCGCCCCTCCTCGCTGGTTGTCTCTATTGATTTGATGGGGTGGGGTACTGCAGTAGTGACTCTAGTGTTATTGTCTCTGCAGGCAGCAGCCCGACTGTCTGACCATCCCGATATCTGTATCTGATTTATTTATATATACATGTGGACGTTTTCAGTCTAAATGTTCTTGACGTGATGATTGAAGGCGAGCGTATCCGTGTTGTGTCACTGGACCGCTGCCATGACGCCGCCGGCCTGATTCATTATCCTTGTGAGACACGTTCAAGGTCTGAGCTGATGGAGACAGGACCGTCCATTATCAGGCTGATGACTATTTGAGAGGCTCCGAATGAGACGTCACTGAATCGTCCACTGGTCAGATTTTGGTGAAAGGATCTGTCGGCAGAAATTTATTATAAAATAAACCCAGTGATGTTTTCACTGGTGTGTTTCATCTGAAGTAAGAATAGTTGTTTTCTTTACCCTAGAATGGTCCCTTTATATTCAAATACTTCATATCTACATCAGGAGCGGGTCCTCTCTCCAGAGGCCGCCATGTTTTCTACGGAGGCCAGACTGGACAACTGAAGGTTTCCAAAGGGTGACGTGAGGGGTGTTCAGCTGCAACATGCAGCTTCACCACTAGATGTCACTAAATTCCACACACTGAACCTTTAAGCAGTTTTACAGAAAATTTGAGAAAAATTGGGTCCGTACATTTTTCATTGAAACTTAATATTCCATTCTCTGTTCTTTAAATTTGAATTTATGTTTTTCAGCTGTTTCTAAATGGTGAATATTGTTTCCATAGTGAACAGATGAAACGTATCCAGCTGCAGAAACACACACACTTTATGTTAGTGATTACACTCATGACCCAGGACAGTGGAGTTTGTGTAGTAATCAGTGCTGGACACTAGAGGACAGTATCAAGGTTACGGTGCAGTGGAGCTTTCTGATTGTGTTTCCATTCATTTCACTCCATATTGAAGACGCTCATGTTTTGTCTGTTACCACAGTGACAGTGATTACTGACACAGTCGTTTGACTTTACTGTCTGGTTGAAAAAATAATGACAGTGATAACTTTACAACACATTGTCCCTGCGCTGTTGAATACATTAGTATTCAGGATACCAACCTGTAAGGAAGTAACCAGGCGAGCTCACAAATCAGTGACGACACATTAACAGTGAGTAAATAGTGAAGGGGGGGGGGAGGACGTGTCCTGAGACATGTCGTTGTTTCTCTTCATTACAGCAGAGAACATGAAGTTTAGTGTGGTGAGGGAGGGGGGGGGGTGGCACCGCAGCCACTGGAGCCAAAGGCAGAGAAACAAAAGTGAGGCTGTAACTCTGAGAGACACCATCTAGTGGTCGGCCCTGAGAAAACAGTGGGATGGTTGGACTTGATCTAAATACATTTGTGCCATGTGCTTCGATTTTTCAATTAGATGCCTCAGTGTTAAATTGATGTTATGAAATCTTCTTATTGGATAATTTCAGTCTCTCAAAATATGGTAGATTGATGGAGTTTTAAAAAAACCAGCTGGAAACGCTGGAGCTGCTGGAATCTGATCCCTTCCAGGTCGTAACTCACTGGTTGAGAAACACTGGTCTTCATTAAAGTTTCGACGCTGTGCTTAATTATTCCAAGTGACTCAGTGTTGAAATACTTGTTCACATTCTTGATGTGAAAGATTTATTATTTCAGATTTAGCAAGTTGCAGTTTTTCGGCTCGTGAGATATTCTCCTGATTGCTGAGTAAACACGAACTCCCTGTGGTATGAGAAAACGATAACACACACAACAACACAGGCTGTGACCTTTTCTCATTTCAAGCAGTGAGCGTGTGGTGCATAGCTGCTGTGTCAGGCCTGAATTCATGGTAATAAAATATAAAGTCCCTGTATAGATACTGTGTACTGCACAGTACAAGTACTTTAAAGCTGCACTCAGTAAATCTGCTCTTATCAACACTGGAGAGAAACTCGGTGTAGGTCTGTCAGGTCGGCTGTGGCTCGGGAGATAGAGCGTGCTGTCCATATACCTGAGGGTCGGTGGTTTGATCCCTGACGCCTGTGTCAGCAGTGTGTGAGTGTGACGCACTGGATGAATGTGTGTGAATCAAGAGAAGAAGAGCTCAATTTTAACACGTTTACTGAAATGGGCTAATTCAGAGCTCAGTGAACATTTACGTTAGCTCACCTGTCAGATTATCCAAAGGTGACTTACAGTTGATTGACAGCACTTCCACGCTCTAGAAGACAAAGTGTCGGGTGAAGAGATGAACCGTAAGATGCAGGTTTGGGTTTTAACGGTGTCAGGACGTGTAGGAGGAGATTCAACACATGCAGCTCGTTACAGCACCAAGAGAACCAGAAACAAGACGGGCCGGGACAGTGGTCGTCTAGTATTTATAAATATATACACGGATAGAAGAAAATGTACACGCAGAAGTTTTTATTGTGAAATAAAAACTGTAGCGATCAAAGTTTGTCTTCATATTTTCGTGAAGTTGTGTTTCAGATGTTTGGATTAAGAGTTTTCACGTCTTCGGGCCTCGGGCTGTTTGACCGAGCTCTGAGGGGGTGTGGTCCTCTGGCCTTAAAAACGTGAAAATCTGTCGTCATTCCGTTTTGGGAATTTCACTTGGACTGAGAAGAGGAGGGAGTCGTGAATATCACAGGATCCAGTCAGTGCGTCTTGCCCCAGTTTCTCCAGCAGCAGGAACTCAAATAACCCCACACAGCTCTGTCATTTGTTTTTTCATGGAGGTGGCCATGTGTGTCTCTATCTGGGTGGAGTCGGCCTGAGCGAGCGAGTGTGTGTTTGGTGTGTGTGTGTGTGAGATCTGCTGCTCTGCCTCCATCTGTATCTATCTTTGTGGTGTATGTTGGCCTCTGTGCCTTTAAGAGGAGGGTCGGATATGTGTGTGGGTATTTCTCAAGCAGAGGAGGGGAGTGGTGGTGGTGGTGGTGGTCTGGAATCAAACCCACAGCTTTAGAGGGAATACTGTGACTCAACGTGGGTGAGGGCGAAGGTGGGGACAGACGGATATAGGTGGACAGACAGCCAGGAGGGGTTTTATCAGTCACACAGTCAGAGAGGGGGGGAGCACGGTGCCAGTGGAAAGTTAGAAAGAAAGTTTGCAGAGAACAGAGAGAGAGAGAGAGAGGAAGGTGCCCAGACCCTGACTCAGAATCAGCCATGTCCATGTTTGCCCCAGGTCAGCGGCTGCCAGAGGAGCAGGACTATGTGCAAGCCTATGAGAACGTCAGAGAGAAGTATAAAGGTAACGGCACCGCTGCTCTTCTTTGACTGCACCGTGGTGAGAGCGTGTTTGAATGGGAGGTGGGCGTGTGAGCTTCATGTGTTCTAAACCTGCACGAGTTATTGGTTCCATGTGGATTCACACGCATGTTCTTTGGGAGATGTCGGAACAGGAAGCGAAAGGTGGAAAGAAAAGGCACGGTGGTGAGGTCAGATGTGGTCGGACATCTGGAGACGTATCATAACATTCACCCTGAGGTCTTTGTTATTATTAGAGTCCGACCGATAAAGACTTTTAGGGGCCGATATTGGAGAGTTCTGATTTATCGGCCGATATCTATCCACTGATTCCAGATATCTCTCTCTGTCTGTGTGTCTGTGGCTCTCATATTTCGGTTTCACACTTTACATGTGTTTTGTTAAGGCCCAAAGGAAGTGCAGTGTTGAATTTGGTGCGATCTGGACATGTGATACATTCAATATTCAAACACACAGTTTATGTGAGGTGGTTCGGGCCTCTATGCCTCCTGGCTGCCCTCCTTTAGAGGTTTTACCGGTAATGCCCAATAGGGATGAGACTGCGGGGTCGACCCAGAACTCACTAGATGGACTACATTTCCCATCAGGCCAGGGGACGCCGCCCAGAGAGAGCTGGAAAGCGTGGCCAGGGAGAGAGACGTCTGGGATACCCTGCTTCTGTGACCTGAGCCTGGATAAGTGGAAGATGATGGATAAACAGGTGTCCAGTAGCTGTAGCAGCAGCTGGGACTCAAGTGACATTGACGATCATGACAACAAACATCAGTGAACTTTGAATGAACAGCAAGTTGTGCAGCAGCGGGGGCTTCAGGGTTTTGCAGATCTTTTCTGTATCGTTAATAAAACTTCTCTTATCGGCAAACACAGGCTGAAACCCACATGACTGTGAAAGGCTCATATCGTCCAACTGATGAGTCGGTCGGGGTCTAGTTATTATTATACTTGGAGCTGTTGGAAGCTTGGTCTGGTTTGACAGATTGTAAAGGAAAGGAGATTTTCTAAAGGTTGATGACTGATGACCTTTGTGTCAGAGGTTTGTTTTT